GATCACCTTCACATGTTTTTACGCATTGCTGACAAATGATTTAATCTTCTTGTAGCTCATCTTAGGTGCATGGAAAACATAACAGAAAATTCAACTTTTACCTCAACAGTGCAAGATAAAGATAAATTAAAGAATGTCTTGAAGCTTGAAAATGTATTGCAAATGTTGGGAATACATTTTGAACTTGGTGTAAACGTTGATAGTAAAAAGTTAGAGTATCGTGAGCTCACTGGTCCAGAGAAACTTTTGATGCTTAAATTTTTAATTTTAAATTTGAAATATTTCCAAAGTAAAGCTCTGTCACTTAAGCCCTTTGATGGGGCAAACCAATGGGTAAATTCTTATATCATTACTGTCTTTATCTCTTTATGTCCGTTATTGCTATATATTGTTAAAAATAAACCTCGTTCCCCCTACTATTTTTCTGACAACCATCATTATATGTATCCCTCATAGATAAATGATAAATCTTCAAATTGAATTTCACAGTTAGCATTCACATTACTCATGAATGCAGATTAAAGGTAATTCATTGTTCATGCATATAATTTTCGATATTCGGTTTAATTTGTTGTAAGATGATACAACTTTGTTAATTTACATGTCGGTGTGGCGAGGAAATGAAACTCGGGACAAAGTTCATAATTATTTTCGTTTTAATGCACCGACGCGAAATCCTAGAGTCAAGGAAAACAGTCGCACATGCGCATACGAAAAACACAACATCACTACTGCACCATTGTCAACCTAACCAGTTTCTATTTGACAACAGTAAATACGTACACCAGCTTGCGCCGACGCCCATCAACAAAACGAATAGTTGGAGAGACCGAAAGCCAGAAGAGGCGTGACGTAAGCAAGTGTGGAAACGCATTAAGCATGCAATGCAAGTGCATTTGATAAAATGCTGTAACTAATACCATGAAAAACAGATTTCGTAGAATGCGTAGTAAATGTTATACTTTTCATCCCTTTGAACAAATACTTTATAGATGTCCGATATAAATGGCGTAATGAATAGATTGATGGGTATAACAGGTAGGGCACATACTCTGAGCTCACTATAGTTATTATAATGCGTGTTACAGTGATGGCTGTTAACCCATAAATATATACTAATTATACACAAATAGGCGTCAGGAGAGCTGTACTAATTTGTAGTAAACTAACATAATTATTTGTCATTAAACTCAATTAATAAGCGAATTGGTTCTAATTTTATAATTATTTTCTTTGCGATATATCCTTAATATTAATAAGGCGATTTGATTGTTTTGATATTTAAACACGCTTGGGACAACGTTGTAAAATAATCAATGCGACATACCGAGGAATATTTCCCGTTTCGAGATAATAGTACGAACTGGTGATTGTCTGTTAATCATCTGGACCAACTTCCTTAACATCTTTGGCCCCAGGTGAAAATCGTCTATGTCCAACTTATATCGCATCTTAATGCGTACCCTTTTTCAGCTGGGACCGAGGGAGTTAAAATCATTCTGACGCCCATTGATCTATTTATATTAGCCAGGAGTTGATGAAAATCGACAGAATGTCGATATAATTCGAACTAGGGACAGGGATGCCGCTTTATCTAATATGTATTTCTAAATACTTTTATATTGTCATGACAAGATATTATTGACTCGATGAAATTCTGCATTGAAGCGCTTTCCAGGCGACAAGAAGACATGCTTGTTGAGTAATTGAACTTTGTAAATAGGACATTAACAAAGAGGAGAATTCGACCGGTGAATAATGCAATTGATCTGCCTGGATAATAAAACGATATATGCACATACACTGACAACTGTAGCTTTTCGTATCATCTTCTTTTAGTAAATTTAACACTTAAGTTTCTGTGATGTACACATGTACGTCCAGAATCGATCCTTTTAATTATAATTAATTTATGTACGTACATTTTACTTCTCTCTAAACAGATTAGTGAAAACGCACTAAACTTTAGTTTTCACTTTTTAGAAATACCAAACCGCTTTTCGTACTACCGAACCAAGTTAATGGGAAATAACTCGTAAAAACGTTTTCGCCGAACCTGTATCTCTAGTGTACAGTCACTTATCTATTTTTAGATTTGTAAATTTTCTGAAAACGTCCTACCGCTGTTAAACTAGGGTAGACCTAAATCGAAAGCGAAAGTACAGTGTTTTGTGAAACCCAGTATGAACAATTTACACTGGTTAACATAGGCGACATATTTAGATAAATAACCAAGCAGGCAGTACAGCTGACGAACATGGATGACGAAGGTCGACATTGTAAAGAACTCATATGGTGAGTAGATCATGCAAACTTACTAGGGATGTTGGTCCATTGGGGGAATAGGGCGGTATAAACCTTTGTAGACGATTGAAACTCTTAAGACTGAAACTTTCGTGTTTTATGAAGGAAAGTGATAACGATGTGTTGGAGAACGCCCCATTTTGTTTTGTTTTTCGTTTTTTTGGTTTTGTTTTGTTTTTTGTTTGTTTTTAGATATTCTAGAGATGGTCTATTTAATCCATTACGATACAGTGAAACAAACGAAAACACACTGTCTCTGTCGTCCAGACGACATTTTACAGAAATCTTATCGATGGGAGAAAAATACTGGTATCTCATTCATTCATGTTAGATTTTTACTTAGTGAAATGTACGTTTCCATTGCTCCATGACCCTGATCTCAGTCTTAAGCATTAACATGCTTTTTCTCATTTACGGTTCTGTGACCTTGACACAAGACTGGACAATCAAATGCTCTTTCTCAGTGCCCCTTGAGGCCCTTAACCCAGTCTCGAACAATGAAATGTATTTTCTCCCCGCCCCGTGACCTTGACCCCAGTCTCGGTACTTTTTGACTGTTCCGTGATCCCGACACCAGTCTTTGATATTAAAATTATTTTCTCCCCCCGTCCCGTGACCTTGACCCCTGTCTCGAACAATGAAATGTACTTCTTGACTGTTCCGTGATCTCGACACCAGTATTTGAAATTAAAATGTATTTTCTCCCCGTCCCGTGACCTTGATCCCCAGTCTCGAACAATGAAATGTATTTTCCCTCTGTTCTGTGAACTTTTCCTCCGAACATTAAAATGCATTTTTTCACTTTTCTGTGACTCTGACCCAGACTGGACCATTAAACTGCATTTTCTCCTTATTTCTTGATCCCGACACCAGCCTGAACCGTTAGAATGTACTTTCTCAATGTCCCGTGTTTTTGTCACCAATCTCGGTCTCTAAAATATTCTTTCTGAATCCAGTGTCGATCATTGAAAAATACTCTTTTTTTTTTAATCTGACACGAGTTGTCATAATGACTATACCTTCATTTGTCCGCTGTGTGTAAACTTCTTTTTACATTATAATTTCTAAGTAACCACTCGACAACTTTTTTCTTCTGTTTGGTAATGTGTATTTAATATATATTTATAATAAGTCAGAAAATTTATGTGTGACGTTTGGATGACTACACTTTTATATCTATCAAATAAAAGACCATTATGATGCATTTTTTTACGAAGTGATAATTTCAGTGTACAAGATAAATAATTGGGTCCCTCTGTTAAGGGGCCCCACGAAAAAAATAATTTGTATTTCATGTTATCTTATTGCCTCATCCCCCCATCCCCCCAACCCGTTGTCATTTTGGACTTTTGTAAGTCATAAAGGGTACAAGCAAAGGAATTTCTTCTTATTTAATAACAATATTCATTTATTTTTATGGTTTGATTTTTCAGTTGTGTTGAATTCATTTTTGTAGTTATTTTGTATTTATTTAATTGTTTAAATAATCAAATTAATTGAAATGAACCCTTATAATTGCATCGTAGATTGGAATATTATTGACATTTGATACCGACCCCTTTCTTTGATAATTTCTGATGTTGACGCTTTGTCTATTCAAACATGACGTAACAAAATGACGTTGATTTATTATGTTTTGTGACCAATGAAAATGGTTGTTTATCAGAGAATCAAATTATATTGTAACATACACACACAACACTGACGGGACATTACTACAAATGTTATATATATTGTAAATATCGGATGTTGAGCCAACATTTCTCATGTCTCATGGAGACGAGATCTTACGAAATTTTTAAAAAGTCATTCATCATACTTTGTTTAAATATATCAAAGTAATGTGTAATAAAAATACATATTCCTTGTCCTACACAGATATATGTCTAGAATTATATCATCAAAGTTTGTATGTTTCTGAAATCATCAAATAAGCAAGATAGGTAGGTTTGATTATATTTATCGTTTCATAAGATTACTATTACCAATTACAACACAGATTTCTTCTTCTTTAGAAACATAATACCTATGTACCGCTTATAAATGTTTCTTAATATGAAGCCGATTGAGAAGAGTTAGAGGAAGTGTTTACGTCAACACTAGCTAAGGTAGTGAGAATACGGTGTCCATTTAAAGGAAGTTTTATAATGACGTCACGATGGAATGGCATGGCCTGGACACGGTATAAAAAGTACCAATCTCGGTCTAATATTGCTGCCACTGCAGCTGTTTCGCCATTTTGTCCTTGGGTGTATTAACAGGCGTTTGTAGATACTGTGTGGTTGCTGATCCAAGGTTTACGCAAAATCCTCGAATTTACTTTCGACACCATTCATATTAGCTATGGTAACCATGTCGTTTGGTTTTCTTTTGTTGTTGTTGTTGTTTTTCTGTTGGTCCTTTTTTCAATATTATATCTTTTGATCTTCATTTAATTTTATTCTTCGACCAAAGGAGAGGGAATATATATACATGTCATTAGTTCTAAATTGTCATTATGTGTATACTTATCAAATTATGTATATATTATATTTAAGAAAATAGAGGGAGAGAAAACACATGCAAAAGATGTGTATTTGAATTCATTAATTTTCATGTTCCAGGCGTGGATCTCATTCTAAATAATGATGTCCTGGGACCAAACCAACACGTACCCTGCCACGAGTTGTTTATATATATAAATTCTATCGTACAACATGGCCTTACCAAAGCAAACACATATGTTTACTGGGAGTTATTTAAGGGAATTTCTTACCGAATCTACAACAAGTGAAGAGGTTCTCGACTCATTGATAACCACAGAGAGACCTCGAATGGAAGTGACCCTCAGTCGACCAGGTCATGCCCCTGATTACGTCACTCAGATGGTGGCAGTACTACTGAAAGCATCACGTAGTAGGGATGTGGCTGGGGTTATAGACCTGCTCAGTGTCCTTGTCGGCTCGAATTTCTTCATGCAGCAACTGGTTGCGACGTCCTCAGCCTTGACAAACAACAATGATGAATATAAAGTTCTTGGATTCATTCTCGATGTAGTTGAAGTACTACAACAAATATCAATGCGTCTTCCAAGCTCATTTACAAATGCATTTGGCCTGATACTTATTCTACAGAAAAATGCTGAAGATATGCTCCTGACGGCTACTGGAGAGCATAGGATAAGTTTAGTCAACTTGTCGGAAACATTAGCAGATATGCGAGACAGTGTCATGAAGAGAATGGTGTCTCACTCTAGTGATAATCCGCGACTACCTTTTGAGAAACAAGCCCCACCAGACGACTTCCGTAATATACCGATATTGCCTAGAGTCTCCGACATCTTCTTGGGATCCAGAGGGGCATTTCTTCGTGCAAACAAGGCGCGAGGTGGCTACGACAATCTACATCACTACCTGGATGTCCAGTTCCGCCTTTACCGAGAGGACTGCATTAGTCCCCTACGTGAGGGTATTACTCAGTATGTTCAGGAGGTTAGCGTCGGCCACAGCGTTCGGCGACTGCAGGACGGACGGCTGTATAAAAACGTCTCCATTCAATATAGTGGATATGACGTTGAAGGACACATTTACAAGGTCACACTTGATCCTGGACACTCACAGAAAATTAAATGGAAATCTAGCCGTAGATTGTTGTATGGTTCATTAATCTGTCTGTCGGCCGACAGTTTTCATACCATGTATTTTGCAGTTGTTACAGAATCAGACAGGGATGTCCTTATGAATGAGCATAGCTTCAAAATAACTTTCCCGACGGAAGTAGGCATGATGAGGTTACCTTTGAATGTTCAATTTACAATGGTGGAATCTACCGCTTACTTTGAAGCCTACAGACATGTGCTGATTGGCCTTCAGAGGCTTGAGGAAGGGGAATTGCCTTTTGAAAAGTATATTGTCAGCTGCAAGAAAGACGTCGACCGACCGCTATATCTGAGCGATAAGAAGGCTTTTTATGACCTGAGGCCAATAGTTCTGAACAAGAAGATACTCAGAAGTCAGTCGCACAGCCGTCGACCACTTCACGTAGATTTAAACGGTCCTGCTAGTCTTTGGCCATCAGCTGAACAGCTTCACCTTGATCAGTCACAGTTTGAAGCTTTCTATGCTGCTCTTACACAAGAATTTGTCTTAATACAGGGCCCACCGGGTACTGGCAAAACGCATGTCGGCCTCCAGATCGCCAAAACTCTTCTTCATAACAAGGATGTTTGGAAAGGAAATAATTCAAGACGCCATAATACACCTGGAAAGACGTCATTGGAAACTAAGCATCAACTACTGATTGTCTGCTACACTAATCATGCCTTGGACCAATTTATGGAAGGCATCATTCAATTTCTTGACGATCATAACAAGCTGGAATGGCGTCAGGAGATTGTGAGGGTTGGTGGAAGATCCGACAACGACGCTATGCAAGAATTCTCTTTGAAAACGCGCCGTTATAGTCACCATCGCTCTGCAAATGCCAGGCAAGAACAAGGTCAGAAACTTCAACAACTTTACGAATCCATTAAAACGCATAATGAAGACATATCTTTTATAAAATATGTTCTTTGCCATCTTAAGGATACAATCCTAGATGTTCGCTTATTACTCCCATTCATTACAAGACAGGATGCAAATTACTTTGTTGAGAACAAAGAACTATTGCAAGAGAGGCTATATAGTTGGCTGGAAGCAGATAAAGACACTTGGCTCAAGAAATCCAGAAAAGCATACAAAAATACCTCCGAAATGAAAAGGGTTCAAAAGAGGAAAGAAGAAATAACCCCTGCAGAAGAAGAAAATGAAGACCAGCAAGAGGACGATGAAGCAAAGAAAGTAGAAAATGACAGAAAGATCGAAGATGACGTGTTTTATGTGCAGTTCCATGGCCATATTGGTCTTGATGTGAATAAACAAATGACTGATGTTTGCAAGAGCATAGATGCAAATCCAAACCTTGACAAATATTTTCAATCATTAGTACAGAATGAAGCAAAAGCAACATTGGCCAGACTGGAAGTCAATGACATGATAGACTACAGAGACACTCAGCAAAGTATAAAGAAGCTCAGAATTGAACAACGTTGGCAACTATATAGGTACTGGGTTGACTTGTATAAACAACACCAGAACCAGCGGTTGCGGGAACTAGAAAAGGAGTACTTTCAAACAATCAGAGCCTATGAAAAAGAGAAAAAAGAAGTAGATGCAGAAATCTTAAACGAATCTACAGTGATAGGTATGACAACAACTGGGGCAGCAAAATACCAGGATGTCCTCAAGGAAATAGGGCCTCGAATAGTAATTGTAGAGGAGGCTGCTGAAGTGTTGGAAGCCCACATTGTTACCGCCCTCAGTCCACGATGTGAACACCTCATCCTCATAGGAGACCATAAGCAGCTGGAGCCAAAGCCGTCAGTAATGCAGCTGGCTCTGAAGTACAACTTATCACTGTCAATGTTTGAACGGATGTTGAACAACGGCATGCAAAACCACTGTTTACAACGGCAACACAGGATGCGACCGGAAATTTCTATACTTGTCCGGGACATATATCATGTTCTGGATGACAACGAAAACGTTTTTGAGTACGAACATATCATGGGTGTGCGAAAAGATGTTTTTTTCATCAATCACAACCATTCTGAGGATTATGCAGACGATATCCGGAGCTATTCGAACAAGCATGAGGCACGATATGTCGCTAATCTATGTAGGTATTTGCTGAAGCAGGGATACAAGGGCACTCAAATCACAGTGCTTGCCGCGTACACTGGGCAGATGTTCTGTATTCGTAATTGTATGCCAATACAGGAATTCAAAGGCGTCCGAACAGTTGCTGTAGACAACTTCCAGGGAGAAGAAAATGACATTATCCTCTTGTCAATTGTCCGTAGCAATAAAGAAGAAAAGATTGGGTTTCTCTCGAGGGAAAATAGGATCTGTGTTGCTCTGTCCCGTGCTAAGAAAGGCTTATATGTGATTGGAAATTTTGATCTGTTCAAATCCAGAAATTCACGATGGGCTGATATTGTACAGAAAGTAAACAAGGCAGGACAATTTGGAAAATCGTTGCCACTTTACTGTCAAAACCATCCACATGCTGATGGTATACAAGCAGAAGATGATTCTGATTTCCTGAAATCGCGAGACGGGGGGTGCGAATTGAAATGTGACTTCCGGTTATCCTGCGGTCACGCTTGCAGGCTCTACTGTCACCCAATAGACAGAGCGCATACCGAGTACGTCTGCAAACGGCTATGTAAAAAGAAATGTGAAAATGACCACATTTGCGAAAGACAATGCCATTTTGACGCTGACTGTGATTGTCCAGTGGTAATGAAAAAAGAACTACCTTGTGGACATGAAGCAGATATGAAATGTTGTCAGTCAATTCAGACATTTAGGTGTAGCATCATTGTAGACCGTGAGCTTGAATGTGGCCATGTTGTGAAACTTCCGTGTCATATCGACAAGGCAACCCACAGATGTAAAATAACAGTGACTCGAACCCTAGACCCTTGCTCACATGAAGCACAAATGCAATGTTGGGAAAATCCAAAAAATCAGAAATGTTTGCTAATGGTAGAACGGACACTTGAGTCGTGTGGACACAAAGCCGAGATGGAATGTTCTTTTGATGTGATGTTGTACAAATGTAAGATAAAGGTTCACCGAACATTACCGAGCTGTGGTCATGATACGGAGATGAAGTGTTGGAAGGAGCCTCAAAGTGTTAGCTGTGTTAAATATTTATCGAAAACACGCGATGAATGTGGTCACAAATATGACGTTCTTTGCGGCCTATTCAACAGTTCATACGAGCGTCTTCATCCATGCAAAGAAGCTGTCACGAAATCATGGGCATGTTCACATACTAAGGTAATTAAATGTCATGAGTCTAAAACCGCAAGATGCCAAGAGAAATGCTTGAAAAGTTGCGATCAAAACCACACATGCCAAAAGAAATGTCACTTCCCTTCGAGCTGTGACTGTGATGTAGAAATGAGAAAACTCATACCTTCATGTGGCCATATGCAGGAGATTCCTTGTTACAAAGATCCCGGAAGTGTAGACTGCCAGACGATGGTCATGAAACACTTGACAACTTGTAATCATGAAATGGAAATGAAATGTTCAGCCGATCCGTCGTCTTCCCGATACACATCAGCCTGTAAAGTTCTAGTTACGAAGGAAGTCCCAAAATGTCATCACAAACAAAAAATGCAATGTTCCGAGTCATCTGCATTGTATCGATGTAAGGAGATCGTAAGCAAACCTCATCCAAGATGTGGACATACTATCCAAACTGAATGTTACGCGACTCCTAGTTATTTTGCAAGATGTGATACCATCGTCAGCAAGCCTTTAATTTGTGGCCATAACCGGGACATGAAGTGTTCCGATACACGCCTTAACAATACTAGGTATAGTATATTCAGAAGGGATAAACCCTCAGCTGATTATGAATGCAATGAGGACGTTGATTACGTGCTACCAAAGTGCGGGCATACAGTAACTATCCCTTGTTATATCAAGACAGACCTGGAAGAAGAGAAAATAAGAAGTACTATTTTCAGACTTCCTGCGTGCAAAACCCTTGTGTCGAAAACATTTTTGTGTGGCCACACCACTACAGTTGAATGTCATTTGTTGGCGAAGCAAACTTGTTCCTCGCGCTGTTCAAAAATAATGGCATGTGGTCATATCTGTCAAAGAAAATGCATACAGTGTTTCGGAACTCCGATTCATGGTGATTGTGAAGAACCGTGTGGAAAACGTCAAATTTGTGGACATAATTGCACAAGTAACAAATGTGGGTCATGTAAACCTTGCTACAAAAAGTGTGCAAACTTCTGTCCTCATCGCCATTGTCATCATCCGTGTAGTCGTGAATGCACACCGTGTATGGAAATGTGTCCTCTACAGTGTCCGCATCGTAGCTGCTCCCGTCTTTGTCATGAGGAATGCGAAAGACCTCCCTGTGATCAGCCATGTCCACTACTGCTGAAATGTAAACACCCGTGTATGGGATACTGCGGTGATCCTTGTCCGAGTCTCTGCCTCGTCTGTAATCCAGACAGATTTCAGCAATTTAGCGACGAATTGATTTCTGAAGAAGACATCCGTATTGTGCGGCTTGAAGACTGTGGTCATGAACATAGTGCCAAGTATTTGGACACACTGTTCGCTAGAAAAACAACTGTCTTTACTCTGCTGTGCTGCCCAGAATGCGAAAAAGTGGTACGATGGCATTCACGCTACACAAATCGCCTGAAGAAGCAGTGGAAGAATCTGACGACCATTAAGAAGGTTCTGGATATCGGATCAGAAGAGTTCAACATGGAACTTCTTTTCCCGTTGTTATGTGGAGGATTAGAGGAGACTCAATCATATTTGCGAACATTCAACACGTATTTGTTTTTTCAAAATGAACTTAAAAATCGTAGAGACTCTCTAGAAAAGTCTGTTGATTGGTCTATAATCACGGCTGATCAGCTGACTAAGTTTCTCGATAGTTTTCAAAACTCAGTAGCTATTACACATCAAAAGGTATCCAGCGTAAATCAGACGTTGACTAAACTGTGTGCAACATGGCTTCTCCTCATCGCCAACACCCGTGAAACTGATCTTTCTTCATCTGATTCTGAGGACGAAAGCGACCTCCTCTTAGGCCGTTCAGATTCGGAGGATGAACTGCTCGATTTTCTCAATGTTTCTGATGAAGATGATGTGCAGCATGCACTGAAATCTGTACAGCGAGAAAAAGAAAAGAAAAAATTAAGTACGGAAACAAAAACAAGAAAAACTTTGCATGATGTTGATGACATCATCGGAAAATCACAAATGTTGTCTTTAACAGAGCTGAGAACAGTGCAACAAACTCTTGGGGCGCTACTGTTGGACCAGTCAGAAGTCAACCAGGTCATGACCTTTCCTACACTCCGCATTATTGGTGTTCATCCAAACGAGTGGTTTATATGCCTTAAAGGTAACAATGTACACGATTTTCTTTTTCCAGGGTTTTCGGAGAATACGGGACAAGTTAACTTGTGCTGACTCAAGTCTATGCTTCTGTTGATCACAGTATGTTTTATATCACGTCTACTACAGGCTTAATAATCGAGAAAGTAATAAGCAAAATCATGGTATCAGCGAACATCATGTTGCTGTAAACAGGATGAAGTTGAATTCGTAGTATCACTGAACATTGATAATTAAGAAAGTTTACTTAATACAATATAAACGTAATGATATCAGACAAAATAATAATTTATCACCAAATATCGTACAAATCAGTGAGTATGATACTTAAATTAGAGAAATCAATGTATAACTGGTACTTGTGAACACCTATTAAAAACAAACTTTTCTGTTCGCTGTAGTGATAAAATGGGACGAATCAGTAGGGTTTGTTTATCACATGTCTAGACTGTTTTGAAAGCACACGTAAAAACAGCTTTTTATCAAACTGATATTTAAGTCATATTGGCGGTATTCGCACTCTCCAGCTCTTTCCTGGGCGCGGTTACAATGCTCTGAATGATAGTTTCAGTCTATCACGACGACCGCGGGATATCACACGTATTATCATAAAAATATTTGTACAGGTGATAAAGAGTGCGTCATTCTCGTAATGTCAAAAATTACAACACTCCATCTTCATTACACATAAAACATAATGTACAACACAACCAACCTAAAAGAAGCCATATCGAATGATTATTCTTCATTAAGTGTAGGCCATGCGTTGTTGTCATCCCCGCGTAATCATGTGTAACATTCTAACATCACCGTTTTATATGTGTACATTTGTGGACAATTTCCAACTTTTTCCGAAATCTAAGTACAATTATTGCAGTGATTAGACATCACACCTCATCAATAACATATATTGAGTTTAAGACCTAATACTTTTTTAAAATTATTTTCTACACTTTAATGGATGAAATGTATTTGATGATAGGGTGTATGGCTGATGTCATATCTAATCCATTTCAAAGGTCACGTGGAACCCGCTGCCTCCCCAGACGAAAAGTGCCTGGAATGTGAATCAGGGATTCCTTTGGCAGTTACTTATGTAAGTCGCCTTGAGGTTGCTTTAAAGTGACATTATGGTAGAACGACTTTTTCTGATGTTTTCGTTGTTATTGTATATATATATATATATATCAAGTACATCACCTTTTTAACAATACCAGTTCTGTTCAACTGAAATATCCATATAGGGAAAATCTCTTCCTGTAGATACAGCATATGTAGATTTCTGCGTCATAAATGATAAGGAATGTGGACAACACATCAGATCAGCGTATGGGAATGGTTGAAACAATGTTACAATGTCAATCAAAGAGCAAACGATGGCCAAATGAGCAGAAGAGAACCAAAGAATTTCTCGGAGGAAGCTTACCTTGGCAGATGTTAACTTATCAAATGAGAAAGCAATCAAGCCTGACGAAGTGAAACTATGTCAAAGCGTTGCATGTTGTGAGACTTTTGCAGAAATTATGGCTATCTATTTCACTTTATTCGTAATTCCGAGTTAAATTTGAGTTATTAAGTTTACGCACTGTGTCACTACATTGTTCTTCGCCATCATGCGTTTTGTAAATACCAATAAATTGATTAGTGAGTGGTCAAACTGGACATTGGAAAGCGACTGGGAATATCAGAATGGCATAAAAACGTAACTGACGTGACACTTACAATATCAAAACAAAACTTTTTGCGGCCATGTTCGTTTAATTTATAGACTTTTTTGATTATGTCTTAAAAAGACGAAGGAGGCAGTAAATCAGTGGATATTGTTTTTTCTTCTTCTTCTTTATCGACTTTAATCGATATATTAATATTTCTTCTGTTAAGTCAATTGGTTTTCTCACATATTAAAAAACGTTATTTGAATATATGACTTTCAGAGAAGAATTATTTTCACATGTTTTGATACAATATAGTTGTAATAGTTTAATACAAATAGGAATGTAATAATTGGATTCTGTTCACATAGTTCCTTTTCAAATGAAGTCTTTTTTATCTTCAGAGAACATTTTTGGACAAATGGCGAGTCAATTTTGAGAAGAAACAAGCTGTGGGTAAAAAAGGGCCGGACTCAAAACGAAATGGGCGTGAAAAAAAAGGCAGAAAAGGAAGTGGTTTTGAAAGGGGTACTGGGTTTGGATCTGAAATAGGTGGACGCAATTCCGGAAAAGGTCGAAACAATGCCGAAGAAGTAATGTTCTCACCGGAACCGACTTATACCGCTACTGACAAGAGAAATGTTAACCAAAGAGAGAGTGGAGAGGGCGTTGTAGGTCGAAGAGCAGATACAGGTTCTTTTAGGTGGCAGATGCAAAATACCAGAGGACGAGAAGGGTATAGAGAGGATGGAATCTTAAGTGAACGGCAGAACAGGGAGAATATAGTAGGATATAGAGAGAGTGAAGGTGGTGATACAAGACGGAAATTCGGAAGAGAATGGGAAGAAAAAGGAAGGACAGGCGATGGGTCGATTGACAGACAGGGTGAAAAAGGGAGAGAACACCGTAGAGGAGGTAGAGATAATAGCTGCAGACGAACAGATAGCGATAGTGATAGAGGTGATAGTGGAAGAGGTAGAGGTGATAGAGGTTGGGGAAGAGGTGATCGTGGAAGAGGTGGAGGTGATAGAGGTTGGGGAAGAGGTGGAGGTGATAGAGGTTGGGGAAGAGGTGATCGTGGAAGAGGTGGGGGTGATAGAGGTTGGGGAAGAGGTGGAGGTGATAGAGGTCGGGGAAGAGGTGGAGGTGATAGAGGTGATCGTGGAAGCAGTAGAGCTGATAGCAGCAGAGAAAGAGGAGATGGCGGTAGAGGAAGAGGAGATGGTAGTAGAGGTAGAGGAGATCGTGGAAGAGGTGGTAGGCGCAGAGGAAGAAGGGAACGGTAGACACTATTGTTATACACAGGTATACCCTATGAATATTGTCATAAACAGCAGTTTTGTTCTAACACTTCAATAATGGATGAGGTACCCAGAACAATGCTTAACAGAGAGAGGTACATGGAAACTTCAATGGGAAATGCATGGACAGGAGTTATATAGGTATAATACATGTTAATCATTGATATAACTATCTGTGTTCTACTAAATCTGAATATCCTCTTCCCATTGACTGGAACTTTACAATCAAATATGACATTACCATGAGTTCGAAATTAACAGCCAACCATTGGTGAGCCTTCCATTGGTAAGATATGGTTTATATGTGTCCAGGAATTCTTTGACAGGGTTACAATGTTAGGAGAAGCTTAACATCACATTGTACAATCATCCCTATATCTTTTGTGACCAATATAATGATACCAGATTTCCTCAGATCTGATCCTGCCCCTGGGGATTTAGTCATTTTACCTTTGAGTTTGATCCTGACCCCTGGGATTTAGTCATTTTACCTTCGAGTTTGATCCTGTCCCTGGGGATTTAGTCATTTTACCTTCGAGTTTGATCCTGACCCCTCGGGATGTAGTCATTTTACCTTCGAGTTTGATCCTGACCCCTTGGATTTAGTCCTTTTACCTTCGAGTTTGATCCTGACCCCTGGGATTTAGTCATTTTTCCTTTGAGTTTGATCCTGCCCCTGGGGATTTAGTCATTTTACCTCAACTTTGATCCTGACCCCTGGGATTTAGTCATTTTTCCTTCGAGTTTGATCCTGTCCCTGGGGTTTTAGTCATTTTTCCTTTGAGTTTGATCCTGTCCTTGGGGAATTTAGTCATTTTACCTCAACTTTGATCCTGACCCTTGGGATGTAGTCATTTTTCTTTTGAGTTTGATCCTGTCCCTGGGGGATTTAGTCACTTTTCTTAGAGGTTAAGTCTTCCCCTGGGGATTGCATTGACTTCACCATTGGGTTTGCTCTTCCCCTGGAGGATTTTACTCGCCCTACCACGGGGTATGGCCCTGCTCCTGGAGATTTAGTCAGTTTTACCTCAGATCTGATCGTGTCCCTGGTGATTTAGTCATTTTTCTCCGGAGTTGATCCTTCCCTGATGATTTAGTCAATTTATCTCTGGAGTTGATCCTTCCCTGGTGATTTAGTCAATTTATCTTGGAGTTTTTGTTTTGCTCCTTGGGAGCATTTACAAATACATCCTATTTGCTATCAAGACTGTGTTTAGTCTCAACATTGGAGGCTTGGTGTCTGGGCCATAAGCTGAGTCCAGTAGTCAGATCACAGATCAACGAAAGGTGTCGTATTTGAAATGCAAAGAAATTATATCACTCATATCGCAAATACAAATACATGTAGACAAATAAACGTGAGGTATCATTTTATTTGAACCTTTAAAATGTGATTTTACATCACACGCCTAGGCTATATTAAATGTTATGCCTCAAGTATCTAATGTCACGTTTAGACCATATTCAATAATACCATGCCTTAACTATATTTAATGTCATGTCTTTATTATGTTGAACGATGTCGTGCCTTGATTGTATTGAATGATGTCATGTCTTTATTATGTTGAATGATGTCATGTCTTATTATATTGAATGATGTCATGTCTTATTTTATTGAATGTCACCCCTTGATTGTATTGAATTATGTCATGTCTTGGCCATACATGTATTTAATGATGTCATGCCTTACCATATTGAATGATGTCATGCTACATCTTGACCATAATTTATGTCATACATTTGCTATATTTACTGATGTCACATTCATTTCATGATATGAAGATTTTATCCTGTTCTTAATTATGTCTCTTTCACAGCACGTGTACTGGTATGTGAATTTTAAAAGTAGATTTTGATCACAGAATTGCCAATTGTTACCAAGCATTTTTACGTAATGCACTCTGCGATAAGTAATAGTAGTCACTTGAACAACACAATACTTGTGTGATATATCACAGCAGACGTGACATATAGGACATGTCATTTCTCCAAACATGTATATATTTTGATAGAGATTTATCCACTTTTGCAAGGTTTATTGATTTTTGCTCGTTTTTATATCATCTAACCCACCATAAGCATTAGGGTCTGGTTCATAGTATTCATGGAGTAGCAAACATGAGGAACAGGATTTCAAGTTTGCAACAATGGACCATGAATTGACAAAGTCTTCTGTGTAAGCTGAAAAGCAGGTTACTCATTCAAGTCCATTAGACCTCTTGTTTACAATTACTGCACTGATTTAATCACTTCATAACTATTCCTATACTTACCGTATTTTACCGCAAATAAGCCCCCCCACCCCCCACCCAGTTCAAAAAGACTTGTCAAAAGAGGGGAGGGGGCTTATTTGCGGGCAATCCCCCTGTTCACGAGATGAACGTGTGTCCGCCATCTTGGAATAACACCCTATTCCTGACAAATTGGAAAAAGTGGTGGGGGGCTTATTTGCGGGAGGGGGCTTATTTGCGGTGAAATACGGTACTATTTTTATGTTACATAGGTCTTTATAGTCAGATGAGCATTAAGGCTTATGGGCCTCTTGGTAGCTATATCTATTATCAAGTATGGGTATATGTAGAATGAGGAGAGTAGTAGACAAATGAATAGTTGTCTATGTTTATATCTGTTCTGAACCATTGATAAGAAGCTGATAACCTACAATATGACTCCTGCAAGAGGAAATGTGCACTGCATGTATGTATCATAGCAACAACAGTTACATTCCTTCTTGGTTTTTTAATTATCATTGTAATAGAAACAATTCAGTTTTCTTTTGAAAAGTTAACAATTGTAATAATTAGTTTTAAACTTTTCCTTTTGTCTGTGTCAAGTTTCACAATAATTGTGGTTTTAATTTGATTTTGTTGTAGTGGTGATTTTTTTTAAAACATTTGAAAAGTCTGATGGACTGAATCCATCATACAAATTCTTTTATTTCGAATATGATAGAACAATATCTCCATTTCTGTTGCGCTGTGTCTTAGTAATTTGCAATTGTAATTTTCTCACTTGTTGGATGTGATAACATGTAAATTTATCTCCTACAGGGTGAACTTTTAATATTGATTTGGATCATATTTTGATACCAATACACCAAGGTACTAATTGTGAGTCCTATGTAACTACATTGTAGATCTATATGACATAATCCTTTTGGCATTGAGAACTTCTAGTCATGGAATAAAGTAGATTGAGATTGGCATTTTGTGAACCAAGAGTATAGTACCTAATTTCTGTATTGAGGAATGTTGATAATTAAAAAAATATCATCATTTTGGAATTTTATCTAAAAGTTGAAAAGCAACAAAAAGCAAAGACGACTGTAAGGATATAAAACTGTGTTGTTTTACTTCTTTGGTTGAATCATAATAAAACAAATAGTTGTGTGTATATTTGTGTTTTTGGTTTTGTTTGTAGCTTTACACATTTTATTACTGAAGATATAAATATGGCTTTGTCCCATATTAAATTGACTTTATAAAACTTCAGAACACTTTTAAAACTGTGTGAGACAATCACACTACCTAACAGTAGACTACTTGAGAGCTGGGGAATTACCAATGTAACTTATGATACGTAGGACCTTAAATAGGTTTCCGTTTGATAGGTGCTTTACGATACAAATCTAAGGATTTAAGCTCAGGTGTACAGTTTGTGGTGACTCTCATGAATCATCAATGAAATAGATATAAACCCAGACATTTCCACTCCACTTAAAGTCATTTTGGTCTTTATTATTACATCATTTATAAAAAAAGGTAACAGCTGTTGAAAATGTTTTATGTCAGCGACGACAAAACAAGTACCAGGACTTTTTAACTTTTGTTTATTTGTATAAGGAATGTTTGGGAGAATTGGGATTACCAACATCAACATACAGAAGATCGTGTGGTGATATGATAGAGATATGTAAAATCTTTTCTAGAAATTATCTTAAGGAAGTTACACACTTATTTTCACTCAAAACTATTCTGTAACTTTAAAATGTCAAAAGTAAAGGAGTTTTAGTCAATATCTTCAACTACAGATAAAAATACACAAACTAAGTGAGATTTAATAATCACTTGATTTATTAAAGTACTTTCTTATATTTACAATGTGATAACATCTTAACAAAATTCCTCACTGACTGTTGTCAGTATAACATGATGTCAATGTCAGTTTAATGTTTGTAAAACCAGGATTTAATTGACTATCCTCATCAAAGAAAGTGTCCTTTCTTGAAGGTTGATGAAATGATGACTTCAAAGTTTCATAATAAATTTGCAAATAGGTATTGGAGCTTGCTTGGCTGAATCAGATGAAAAGAGCAAGAGCTCCTCCAAGCAATATTGAAAAGGAAATCATGACATTACCAAGGGGTAAATCTGTTGTCTTCAAATCATTTTAAATACACCATGCTTTTGTCCTATCACAAGCAACTTCCATGAGTCAAGTTAGCTTGTTTCATGTAATTCCATGTAAAAGTTTTCTGCTTTCACACCAAACTTCACAGTAATTCTCAACCATCCTCGTCTGAAATTTCTACTACATCACTATCTTCTTGTGCCTCAGCATCATTGTCCTTACTTGTAGAACTGTTGTTCTGGTTCTGTTGCACATCCTCTCCACTATCATCCTCATCGCCATCCTCTTCACCTCCATTTTCCTCTCCATACTCTTCTGCCACTGCTACTTCTACCTGGGTTTTCTTCTTTCTCTCGGATGCTGCTTCCTTCTTATTTTTCTGACCTAATCTGTAGGCTGAAGAATTAACATTTGTTGTAACTTTCAATATGGGCTGATTAGAAGCTGAAAAGTTTTGATATATATACACTAGGTGCTGCATCGAAGTGTGACAAATTTTGATGTTCAGATGCTACTCAATCAAGGCCCAAAATAAATAGCTGTTTTACTGTGTAAACAACCATTCTGATTAAATTCTTATTTGTCAACAATTTAATAAATAAGAACAAAAATTGGATAACTAGTAATAAAATTATCAATCCTGTGTGATAATAATGATAATAATCCTAAGATTTGTCTGCCATTTTGTTTCTTTGATCTAAAATCTACAGGACATAAATATGGACCAATGATAATCTTCATTTGAAATCTGAGAAAAATCAATCCTACACTTTTCAAGAAATAGCAATAACAATCTTTCCTAGTCAAAACCCAAGATGGCCAATTATCAGCCATTTTGTTTTTCTGATCAATCCTAAAATCAAAAGGGCAAAATTAGGATCAATGGGAACCTGTATATGAAATCTGAGACAGATCTATCCAGAACTTAATAAAACCTTCAGAGAAATAAAAACAACAAACTTTTAAAGTCGAAATCTGATCGCCACCTGTCAACTACCCTTTTAATTTTTTTGATCAATCCAAAAATCAAAATGGCACATCTAAGGACCACGGGGAACCTACATATGAAATCTGATAAGATCCATCCAATACTTTCTAGCAAATAGCAAAAACAAATTTTCATTGTCAAAATACAATATGCAAGCCTTTCAGTTATGTTGATTTTATTATCAGTGTTGACTACATCCGGTATATGTAGGTGAATTGAGCTCCCTTATTTATCAAAACTTGCCTGTGGGAGATAGGCCAGTCTACCGCTGGGCGATAATTAGGGGTTAATTAGTGACACAAGGAATAGCCCAGGCATCAAATACAGACTTATGGTTTTATTTTACGAAAATCAATTATGGACAGAAATATATTACAATAATCTATTTATCACATTGGACTTTATCACAATAAACATCTTTCTTCACTCGATTTTATAAAAGGAATAATAACAATACATGGAAAAAATATCATAATAAGTGGGATGTCATAATATCCATTATCATAAAGGATCCACTGTATTATAGGACTTTGTCCTACATGTGACATAAAGTTATCACCAATCTGATGAAGTAGAAAAATCCAGCACAGGGTAGTGTGCAAGATCTTGTTATCTCGTGTAAAAGAATAAGAACACTTGTACTGGACTTACACTCCAGGCAGTGTTGCAGAGGTTCCACAAAATGTTCAAACTCCATGTCGTCCATGGCAGACATCACATCTTGGGCAGTGATAGTTTTCCTCTTTCCCTTCAAGGCAAAGTTGTTGGAACATGAAGTGGCGTACAGCACAAACACACTGGCAGCTTTAGAGATGGCCAATCTGGCTTCCTTCGATACATTAACACCATCTGGAATCTAAAATTTAGGAAACAATCGACTTAGTCCACCAAGACTTCTTATAACACACATCTTCTGAATAAATTCTGTCTCCAGGAGTGATTTTTGTCATCAAGAACATTGTTCAATGTGTCTTCTTCCACTGAAGCTATGATCACAATAAGGAAACAATGACATCACAAATAGAAACTTTTCAGCTCATATTTCAAAGTAATAATTTAACTGGTTTTATAAACATCTTCTGTAAATGGAAAGCATACATTTACCTTGTATAATTGTTGTATTTGTAACATTATTTAATCTACCATTATTTAAACATAACATACCTCAATAGTCATTTTATCCCTTTTAAGCTCTAAAACATTTACTGCTCTGAATTTTTTTTAAATATGCTAATATACATATATATGTGTGGTAGATTTATTTCTAGTATTAGATAATCTATTGGAAGAACTGCAACAACCCTGCCAGCAAATCAATGAGAAATGTGGAGTTTTTTTTAAGTTGTTATTGACATTTTAAGATTTGTACTCGTACCATCAAAGTTGATTAATAGCTGTCTGGCACAAATAATACAACTACAAAACAGATTTCAGTTCAATATTATCATTATCAAGCACACAGAAAATTAACATTACAAGTATATTGGCCATGACTGTAAGTTTATTTTATCTATTATATAATTACCTGGTACATTAATTAGAACAGTAGAAATTTTTGTATTTGCAATATATTTGAGGTAACTTACAGCATCTTTGATGATTCTGGTTACAACAGCATTAGGGAGGTTAAGATCTTCAGGTCTCTCAGCCATGGTTTCTTTCTGTGTTAAAAAAAATAAATATTTTATTGAAAAAACATCATCTGAGAAATATTTTAAAATAAATATCTATATCAGGCTTGCATGACATGTATAATGAAATCCTGGTCAACACTAGCTGCAATGTATGGCTCACCAAGACAGAAATTCTCTTCAGTTTGATCACTCAGTTATGTATATTCATATAAGCCAGAGGCCTCAGTCAAGTTCCATTCCTAGTGGAATATATTTGAAGACATTCATAATATATAAGTATTTTTAGCTACTTAGTTTCATAACATATACTTTTAGGTTCTTATGAAGAACATACATTAGTACCAAATAATATCAAGTGTTACCACTTTTTCCTACTGTGCATCTAAAATTGCTTCAAAGGGAAGTAACTCCAAGTGTAACATCAAACATGTTAATTTTGGTTTGGTATATAAATATTGTATAAGTTTTTTTATACTCTCATGATGTAAAGATTTGTCGTATTGTTGTTTTTGTATCATTCGTGTCCTTTTTTCATATCAGAAAAAAAAAGTTTGTGTAAAACATCTTCAATATTTAGTTGCTATTCAATATGATCAGAGACGTATATATCACATATACGTCTCTGATATGATGTGATTTGGAATAAATATATTGCAAAGTACACATACTGCTTACAATACATTGATTGACCAATAATTGAAACAAAATTATTGTCTTGTTAAGAAATATATATTGAACAAATATCACAAAACGTTAAAACAAAAGTACTGTGACGACTATAGAAGTAACTAAAACAACTGAAATAAATGTATGTTTTGAGATGCCTTTTAAAAAGTACCAAAACATCTTTTTTAAGTACCAGGTATGTATTGAAACAAATACACCCCCAGGTCACCAGCAATATTGGGTGGTCGGTAGCAGCGATTGCTAACGTACAAGTCATGTCAGTGACAGTGGTGTTGAAAAGTGTGTTCAACACCAGTTTCATCTCACTTTCTCCTTTAATTTCCTTACTGATGGTACGGTGTAAGCAGGTTCCCTACAACTCTCATACATTACAGACATATAATTCAGTTTGTGCAAATTTCGACTCCCATGCCGTAATACTAATTACATTGTTTATAGTCAACAGATGCAGTGTATGACATTAATCACTAGCAGTAGCACACCATCAAGACTCTCAAAGGGAAATTTGGTCCCTATTTCATAACGTTTGCCATCGAATACCAGAATCGACAATGTATTCCTACTTTGTATCAAAATTCACCTGTAACAACGTCTAGAACTGTTCTTTTCCGACTCTTTAATCACGAGGTATATGCAAGCATTACTCTTTTTGTTTATTTCCCGCCATCTTTGTTCCCGGAAGTGGAAATAATTAGATAAATATAAAACGGAGTTCGGTGAAAAAATAAACATATTATTTAGTCTATACGTTGCTGAAGTCATCGATTGCTGGTGCGTTCTTGGCAAATATTATTGTAGAATGAATCAGTATCATTTATATATATTCAACACACGAAAAAAATGTAAAAGTACATGAAATTAAAAGAAAAACAGAATTTCCATCCGGAAATCACTATACATCTTCTACGCAGGTGCGAGAGTACTGAGCAACCGGATGTGAAAAACAGACACAGTTCTCTCACTGCTGCGAGTGTGCGAGTGTGAGATACTTATACAAATACTTTAAGGTAAACAAAACCAACGTTCTCTTGTGGTAAAGTATGGTACTGAACCTTTCACATTTCTGGGTTTGGTCAACGCTATTCTGTAACGTCTCGATATAGGCTTATCCATCCGGTTACAATCGGTGGTCTGCTAGATTTTCTTTATAACATACATGTCAATCGCTTGTGACGGGTATACATTTTCATGTCATGTTTTGTACGGTTGTGAATTAAGGAAATACTGTTGGCTATTTAAACGTAAATCATTACAGGTCAACAGTTGTCAATAATGGTTATTCTTATTCCATAAATTGTTTAATATGGGTACCGGTTAGCTAATTAAGTATCAGAAAATGTAAATTAAACATTCGGCTATGTGTTAAAAGCAGACTTTGCTTACACAGAGACCGAAGCACAATGCTACATTTTACTGTCGTTTGAATTTCTGTCCAAAGTTCTATAACAAGTTAGATCCGGTAGATTGTAGAGATACACACAAATTTCTGTACACATAAGTGTTACTTATATTTGTAATATTTCGAATGGCTCGGACTACACCTGTCCATGATTTTAGCAGGATATAGATAGTCACTTATACTTTCTTTAAATGATCCAAAATAGTTTGATATCTTTTACTTAGTTCTTGAAGAAATTGTTGGTGGCCAGTGCAACTGTGTAACTATATGTTTTCATTGATCCATATGCACCAACAAAAGCAAATATGCTTCATTATGTGAATTCTATGAACAAAAGAGGGAGAATTCTGAATATCATCTACAAACATGATATATGTACGATAATTAAACACGTACATATTTAATTTAATTTCTACTATTCATAATATCTGCTAACTACAAAGCATCAATTCAATCCATGGCCATTTGGGTATACATGTATTGGGTACACTTTGCAATATAAATTGTGCCTTTGAATTCATTAATGAAATGTAAAAGAGTAAAAGAAATTCTTGGCATAAATTATTTCTCATTGTCATGAAGATCATTGTATATTGTAACATGCATGTTCCTTTCTTCTGTATTTCCAGACCATTGTGACTTGATTTGAAAATGAGTAGTTCTGAAGAGGTCTCCTGGATTTCCTGGTTCTGTGGGCTGCGAGGAAATGAATTTTTTTGTGAAGTAATTTATTTTTGTATTTTATCATATAAAATACCAAGGTACTTTGTTTGTACAATTTCAGCTTTCTAAGACACCATTGAGAAAAATTGGTGTATTTTTATGCCAAATGATGTGCAAAAATTACCTCACACATTTAAGGATCAATATATTTTTTTTTTCTATCAAAATTGAATTATTTACGTTTTTAAATTTTTTTTTTATGAACACCCACCTTTGATACTATTGTTTAATTCCAGGTTGATGAAGACTACATACAAGACAAATTCAACTTGACTGGATTGAATGAGCAGGTGCCCCATTACAGACAAGCCTTGGACATGATTTTAGACCTAGAACCAGGTAATCATGTAAATCGGGTACACATAATGTCAAGTCCTCGTCCTGCATTAACTTATAGATCTATATTTCCAGTTATTACAGTGTCTGTATTATCAATTGATATTAGTATGAGTCAAATGTGATGGATTATAATGAGTCAAACATGGGGAATTTATTATGGGTCAAACGTGGGGGATTTTAACAATTATCACTGAATGTTATTCACAGTGAAATGTTAGATATCATAACAACATCAAAACACTCATAAATCTGGTTGAAAACGAGAAAATCACCCCCAAACTCACAAATGTTTTACACTTTTAAGAGTAGGGACTATACTTCAATTATATTGTATCACATTTCTTCCCAATTTAATTCTAAATTGTCTCAATTATCACAACTGAGGGCAATACTTTGAAAGGTTCAGATGCAGGCATTTTTATCAAAATACTTCCTCAAATTCCTAGTCTTTACTTTATATACTTGTTATATTCATTACATAACCGCCTGTTATATAGTGAATTCACCCTTGTAATATTTTCACAACGTTTCACTATTGTAATATGACTTGGAGTATTTATTGACTGTGGCAATCAGATTGTGATGTTATAATATGAACAGTGACATTGCTTTATACTCTATCACTGCTTAAGTGATATAGTGCATGTGATTCAACACATCATATCAGTACAATTTAATTATATCAGTTCTTTGAGAATCAGTATGGTAATACAATGTTATCCGTGAATCAGTATGAAGAAATATTGTTAAAATTGATTGATCAGATCAAATGAATATGATTTTCATCTTTTTGCTATTAATTGGAAAATGAAAAAAAAATCCATTTTCATGACTTAACATGAACAAGGTATTGTATGTCTCATTATCAGTGAGCTGAGTGGCTGTAATTTGTGATAGATAAAAAAAATTAGGTAAATATTTCTGTTTCAGCTATCCCACTGAAAAAAAAAATATCATTAGGATGGCTTTCTAAATTTCTTCAGTCTGATGTTAGTTAAGTGTGACTCTTATGTCTGCTGTCCGTCCAGCATCACCCTTTTTTTTTAAAACAGGCAACTTCTCAATTACCAAGTGACCAATAGTCACAGTATTGGACCAGTAGCATGCTGGGTTGAAAGAATATTAGAATGGTTCAAATCAATGACCTTGACCTACTGACAAAGATACAGGGATAAAATATTTGAAATACTTAGAGGAACTTCTCCTCAACTAATAGAAGATGTGATTTGTCGGGAGTTGCTTTCTAGATTAAGGGTTTTTAAATCTGTTAAAATCACATTGACCTACTTCCATTGGGTCAGATATGTTGTTTGTTAAAAATAACTGGAGAAATTACTGTAAGTATATGTAGTGTCTATTCTTTATGATGGATATTTTTCCATTCTTTATATTTTGGTAGTCGTAAGATTAATTTATGATTCCATTGACACAATAAATAAATACGTTACCATGTAATCCTGTCTGATTAGATGAGGATGAGGAGGAGGGAGGAGGAGGAGAAGATACACCCCCAAATTGTTTGGTTGAGCAAGCCTCAGGCATGTTGTATGGATTAATCCATGCCAGGTTTCTCATGACAAGCCAAGGCATGACCATCATGGTATAGCTATATATAAGAAAAGAACTGTTTGAAAAGTTGACCTCTATAGTACAAAGGCTATTTTGTTATGTTGGTAGGGGCTATTCCATATGTGTGAATACAAGGGGGAAGGTAGCTGGAGATATTTTATAATGGGTTTCTTAAGTAATTGTTGTTTAAACAATGTTTTTCTAGCTGCCACCTCTTCACTTATCTGAATTTTGGAATATCCCTTACAGTGACTGAGCTAGCTTTGACATGTACAATTATGTATATTTGAAATATTTTATGAAAGCACAGTAGTTTTAGTTCCTTTATTTTACTTGCTTGTTCATTTGTTCAAGACTTAATGATGAATATATTGATATCAATATCCTATAAAAATTGTTAATTGAGAACATAGATAATTATACCATATAGATGTACAAGGTGAGCCCAGTCAGTTAAATACTAACACTGTTTGCATGTTTGTTAATTTTTATTTCATGACTTGTGCCCTTTCATAAATCCAGCATACAACTAAAGGATATCCTCAGTATTCAGAAAACCGAATACCTCAAGTCAGAAAAAAGAAGATTCCCAGAAATCATAGCTTTCATTAAGAAACTAGTTTTACTGACACCAAGAATTTAAAAGTCACACCAAACTAAAAATGTTGATGTAGCAGTTGTTATGTATAAGTGTGCTGGGTTTACTGAGTCATGTTGTTGTTGATTAGATGATGAACTTGAAGACAACCCCAATCAAAGTGATCTCATAGAGCAGGCTGCTGAGATGTTGTATGGTCTGATACACGCCCGATACATCATGACCAATAGGGGCATAGCACAGATGGTAAGGTCCTGTCTGTTGTAGAGTGCACAGAGGTCACATATATACTAACTTAGACCCTGGACTGTCAAACTTATCCCACTTTATAAAATAGTAAGTAATGCTTATGGTGATGTTATATAATTATATAAACTATTTTGTATTTTGTCACAAATAACAAAGGAAGGCCGTTTTTGACAAGTGCCATGTTTGGGCTTTAAATTTACGATCTACAGCGCCCTATCCCCTAATCAAGATAATTTTAACTGCTGAACCGTTTCACTATGAATGACGTTTCTTTAAGTTACGTTTCAAAGTTGAAATGTTATTCAGCCAGATATTCTTCGCAATGATCATAACTACAAAAATTGTGCATTCATTTGTTAGATTGTTTAATTCACTTTTGAAGTTATGAAGGTACTTTGCATTAAATTTAATGGAAACCAGAAATCTAGTTTATACTGGATGTTCTTAAAGTATTAACATACTAGGATTGTATTTTACTATATAAAAAAATCTGCATATATTTACATGTTTCTACTTTTTTAAATTGATCAAAATATGAATTGGTTAATCTTGTTTCATACTTTCACCTTTCACAATTGAATACGCAGAACATGTAAAGGAAGAAATGTTGATTCCTTAGAGTTTAATAGTCATGAGCATGTGGGTCATGAAAGGTTGAGCTTTGTGACAAATTACTCAAAATATCTACTTCCCCTTGATGTTTCTGCATCTCAGTTAAACATCATGTAAGAAGTAAGGAGTATGTGTATTCACATAATTTTACCATCAGATGTTCAGTTTTATGTTTTGTTAAGAATTTTCTTTTTAAGATATTGTACTAACTTGTTTCATTGTAATAAATCTGGTTAATTTGACCATCAGGTTAATATTCAAAAACTATGTTGGGTTTTCTGTTAGTCTAGGTGATTTTATTTGACCGATGTAACTTCACATCTTTATTCAGTTCTAACTGAAAATTACGTTTTTTGTTAAAAAATATTATTAATCAACTAGTTGAAAAGAACTGAATGATAAATGATTTTTTGTCATATTTTCTTAACATTATATATTTTGATATAGGCAAATATGTGTGTAGAAAGTTTTAAGTATTTTAAGGAAAGATGCTAAACTACTAGAAAATGTTTGACTGTGTCTCATCTAATACTCTGATTTTAACAGATTGAAAAATGGCAACAAGGCGATTTTGGATATTGTCCTCGAGTTTACTGTGAAAATCAAGCAATGTTACCTATAGGTAAGGAAAGAATGTTAATGTAAATTTTGTAAGATGTTTTGTCTATGAAGGGCATTGATTGTCAGTTTCTTTCAGTTTGACAGTTAAATATGAATTTTCTGAACAAGATTTTTGATTGGAAATCACTCAAAATTTACTTTTATTTGACTTATTGATATGAGTAACCAATCAATATTTATTTGGTGGAAAAAGAGCAACATAAGTATATCCATGCCATGCGCCTTGTAAGCTCACTGGAGCCTCTAGTCTGTAAATTTTTCTCTGTCAAACTTTGATGAAATTTTCTAGGAATGATCAATTCATTAATCGAATTTTTAAATCAAATAATGTTCAAATTATATCGAAACTTTTACTGAACTATCAGTATCAACCATTAGATGTTGTATCAATTATGGATTAATTGCTTTGTTATAGAAGTTATTGTATATATATTTTCACATATTAAGTCAACAAAAGTTTGACCTGTGCGATTTCTATATCTGTACAGGACTTTCCGATGTACCTGGAGAGGCAATGGTTAAGCTCTACTGTCCAAAGTGTCAGGATGTATACACACCCAAGTCCTCCCGACATCATCATACAGACGGATCCTATTTTGGCACAGGTTTCCCTCACATGCTATTCATGGTTCACCCAGAGTACAGACCAAAACGGCCTGCCAACCAGTTTGTCCCAAGGTAGGTGAAGTAGCCTCTAAACACACTGGTCAATCATGTTTATTTTGTGTGGAATACATACTTACATTTGTATGTTGGCCAAGAAAAACTGTAATCAAATTATCTTAAACACATTTGATTTTTGTAGAAACCCTTCTTTTTCACCTTTATACATAAGTTTTTACTGTCAATATTGTTTTAAAGAAACAAAGAGAGTTTTAGTGTAGAGCTTGCAAATATTAGTGTTCAAGAAAAAGAGAAGTGTAAAATTAGTGAATGTCATGTTCAACATGTCTGGTTTTAGTATTTATTGATATATTATCATCCAGAGATGAAAAATTTCCGCCAATCGGCGGATTTCCTCCTTTTTCATGACAAATTTGGTCATTTTTGAGATCGATGCAAATCCGGTGAGAAAATTTCAGGGGTGGTGGGGGGATTAGGTATGTCTTGACGATGCATTTCATTTTTAAGCAATCTTCATCAACTCCATTCTTAAATCCTTCGATTTATATGCCCTTATAAACTGTAAAATTGAACATCGAGCAATTACGTGCACTGAGTTTCCAGTATCGTCAACTCGATAATACGAAGGTAGATAACTCTTACATCGGTAGAACGTTTGAAAGCTATAGTTGAATTACAACAGAGACGAAAAATTTCCTCCGATCGGCGGATTTCTGCCTTTTCCAGTGCCAGCCACTTTCATCTCTGATTATCTGATATTTTTTTTTAGACTTTACGGATTCAAGATTCATCCTTTGGCCTACAACCTACAGAACCAAGCAGCTGCCAACTTCAAGGTGCCAATGCGAGGGCTTGGACATAACAATAGTAAACGCTGACTCATGTAACCAAAGGAAACCTGCATTATAATAAGGACAATATTTATAAAGTAACCTCATGCCTTCTTATAGGGAAGGGGTTATATAGCTAACAAATGTTGACTCGCATAACAATTTAGACTCTTGCTACAATGAGTAAATGACAAGTATTTGTAGATCCTTGTCCTGAGATAGTGATACTTATGGAAATGTTTTAAAGATAAGTAAGATATTGTATAATCATCTTTATATAAGATTATCATGTTGTCCGCCGTGAACAGTTCCTGATATGATAAGAAAACGAAACTTTTCTTTTTTTCAGAGTCTGTAAAATACTATTTTTTATTTGGGCTATATTCTCATTATTTTGTGGGCTCTTTGTTTCTAAGATAAATGGTACTCGGGGGAAGTACACTGATACTAAAAATCCACGTCATATCTTCATTTAAGCATGTCACATGCTTGAAGTCATGGATTAAGAATACTCGAAATAATCAACCCGAAAGGAAAGTGATCATTGTACAGCACCGGGAATGATTTCTTAGACTGTATCTGATGACAGATGTGATGATGGATAAACATTTATTGAAATTTGAAAATTGACTCAAGGAGTGAGTATTTCTCAAGGGCTTTCAGATAACAGTCCATAGACCTTCTCTAAATGTGTTGGTGATATTTGTCTGAAATAATACATCCTCTTTGTGATTATCATGGCCAAGGCTAAATGATTGTTGTGGCTGAAATAGTTATCACAAAAATATGAATTTAGATGGATTTCATATCTTCTGTATAGCTTCTTTTTGTAAATATTGATTTCCATTGGATTTTATTGAAACCTAAAACAATATTTGTAATCATGGTGTGTAGTGATGGATGACAGCTAATTTAAATGTATAAATTTCCGTATCTGTATGTATGGAGCGTCTCTTCTCAGTTTTGAAAACCATAATTTCGAAAGCTGATGTAGCCTCATTGTAGCAGAAATACCAGGCATTTGTAAACTGTATTTCAGCTTGTGGTCAGTATGTCGAACGAACACCATGGCAACCAAGTAGCATATAGTAAGATGTATGATAGTTATCATATAGTTTGTGACATTTATTCTGATGGAAATGTTATTACAGTAATTGTGTTATATATTGGATTTCACATCTTGATTGTGTAAATTACTGTATCTTAAGAAGCTTTTGATATCTATTTAGCTAAAGCAGCTGAAAATAAACTGTTATACAGTGTAACAATATGGCCATCTCAAGTTTATACCAACAAAAATGATAAATTCAACACTACTGAAGAAACTTCATATTTTTCATGGAAATGAGATAAAAACAAAAAAAGTAGAAACTTAATTAAAAAAAAAAAATTGAGAAACATAAATCAGTGGTGGGTATTTCTCTGTCATATCATCAGCATTTCACTTTTTATGGGATCGATAATGAAGGAGTTTTCTTTGGGTAAATTAAATGATATCCTGAGAGTGCTTGCAGCAGGTCTATTCTTAGGTACCAAATTTCCCACTGCCAGTTGTAGAGTTATCATTCATACAAGTACTGATGTTTCCCAGGGAGGACAGATTCGTTGTAATAATTTTTGTGTAGATGTGCTATAACAAGTGCTGGATATAAAATCTAGTGTCTGTAGAAACAGGTAATAAAAGTCTGTTTCATTTTATAAGAAAAAAATGTCTTTGTCTTTTTTTTTAACCGTTCAAAATGGTGAATATCACCTTTATAGAGGTTGATAGCATTCATGTTGTCTCCCTTGACATGTGTTGAAAAATGGAAATGTTTGTGGTTAACGCTAGCGTCTTGACAACAAGGTAGACAACTCGTGTATCAGAATCATTCACAAAATGACAACCGTGTATTTTAATCAGTTTTGTCGGCTTATTCCATGCAGTTTTATATCGTCGTCGGAATATGATATTGAAACAAAAAACAAGTCAAAAAGGTCATTCTTTTTAAATTATCGTTTGTTAATGGTGTTCAACGTACTAAGCCTTGCGTTTTTGAGAAGTACAGCAACCCCGATTTCTCGAAAACTTAATACATAATCCATAGGGGGTAGCAGTCCCTATATGTGATCATGACAGTGTTCCGGATTTAAAATGTCGTCTTCCCGATAACATCACCGACAATTTACGACATTAATTCTGGCTATTGAACGAACTGGGAATAAAATGCATCTTCGATGTACATTATACACAAACTCATAACTGCTGTAACACACAACAGAACATTGGCACCAATCTTTGTTTTCTTTCATGGTTTCTGAAGTACATAGATACGACAGACTGGTATATACAAACTGATGTGTCCGGTTTTCCCGTTTGATTTAGTAGTTGACCATTGCGACCGGCGCCCCGTGGTTGATCACCTTAATATCTTTTATTAATAAGAAAATGGGGGGAAATGCACCACCCAACGAAGATGTAGGGTAAACCGAAAAACCTAAGGCAGTGTCCTATACTAAGTGTAGTGTTTCTTGAGTTGAAGAATTCTAATTATATGTTTAGCTTTGGAGTGATCTGCCGGTAGCATTCTCCGTGTACTTTGCTTTAGAGTTTGTAAGCCCACTTGTTTAAATCTGGTCTCGCTCAAAGAATCTAAAAAAAAGTAATGAAATTTGACTTGGGACATGTCTCACGTTAATGGATTATCGTGTAAGACTTTCATGGGAAACCTCTAACTATAAAATCAACACTAATTGTATGACAATTCATAGAAAGTACCTCCACAAACGTTATCCTTAGAGACGTCACCAGGAAGCCGACTTAACTGGGTCATATTCGAGTGAGTTGCGCCCAATTTTATCCAGCTGACCATTTAGTAGCTATTGGTGGTTACAAATTAGTACTATCAACATCGGACACCCCCGCAAATCGGTGGTGAATGTCTTAGGGAAAGGGGCATAAAAGCCGAGAAGAAATGACCGACTTCGTGGAACTTGTTGGTAAAAATTGAGCCCTTCTCTTGGTGACTTGCATGTTTCATCGAAAACGGACCTTTCGAAATCTTTAAATTTCACGTATAGATATATTAGATGACGAAGAATTTATTGACCATATCTATAAACTCCAACTTTTTATTCAGCAACAATTGCGATATTAGCTTATAGGATATCTTAACTACTCTTGTTTCGCGGGAGAACTTACGGTGGGTGGAAACCGGAAGTCCGAACACGTCCATCATCATTATATATATTCACAACAGCTCGATCGTTGTCTTGACATATACGTTGAGGAACCATAACGAATCTATTCAGAATAGTCTGTCATTTGGAAAATATCCTAAAATCAGAGCCGAAATACCAAATTGATTATACCTGAGAGGGTGGTTTTTTTCTGTATATGCAGTGAAAGGACAGGAATTTGACGTTACGACCGTGTCAGTACAGGTCATGGTAACAAATGATATGTAGTGTGTAAATCATGCTGAAGGTGTTAAGGACAACCGACACTTTATTCTGAAATTGTAATGGAAGATTTCTAGGCATGTTTTCGGTATTCCATGTGTAATTTTAAACAATCATTTGTGACACTCGTCTAAAATTTACAAGAACTTTATCCAAAATATTTTTCAAATATGTCGTAAATTGCACATGCCATTATACCTTTGATTATCTGAAGAACATTTTCCAAATTGTCTTTTTCATTTATATTTCGATAAACTTCTATATCAATTTGTTTATATAAAGAAAAGCGCGATATAAGACTTCCGGGTTTCTTTCCGCGTCCGTATGTTCTACACGATCCTAATGAATACTTGTCACTGAATTCTTGTGATTTCATGTCGATGCATTTTATAACGAACAAAGCCTATTGCGGAACTTTTTTTTTTATAGTTTTGGAGATATCCTGTATCTCACTCGATCTCATTTGTAGCATGGCAAGTTATTGAAAAAGGAAAAGAAGAATGCTACCATGTTATTGTAGCTGCTTGTTGTAACTGGCAACCATTTCTTCGTAAAAAGGACAATAGAACGAATTGTACTGTGACGAGTGTATCGGTGAGTCACAACAGCAGTGATCAGACGTGGTGTGGTGGACAGAGTTGGTATTTAAAGTGATGTAACCTGTATTCACCAGGTTTTATATCAAGGAATATATAACTTAAAACAATTGTTTATATATGACGAATTTGGTTTACGGGAGATAATTGGATCAATTTTCAACTTCGAACATGGAATTAATTTATTCACAAAACGTAATACAAATATTGTCGTGCCAACAGTGTGAATGTTTGAAAACAACGTCGTTTCCAAAGTATTATTTTTATTATATAAGAAAGTGAAAGTGTTTGGTATAGCAAACTTATACTGTATATATATATCGATAACGCATAAATTTTAATAATACTAATCCATTTGATCACTCGAAATCTCTACAAAGAATTGCACAACATAATTTAAACATCACAGTGGACTTATCACAGACTTTACCGCAGATTAAACACTGATATCACAGATAACACACCATCCCTGACCTCGCATAGTCCAACTAAAGCAAAATAAATAGGAAGAAAACTGAAATACGTGGCCTCCATGCCAAATCAGAGATTGGTACCACACATTTCTTTATCACGTTGGAATAGGCTCCCCGCGATATTTCCGTTTCTATGGTAACACGAATTCACTCAATGTAAGGATGCCTTGAAATCCTTCCACGAATGTTCCAATAAGCCATCAAGGGCAGGTAACCCAGTAAAGCCAAAATTAAGGCGATCTGTCTTGTTTAGATATAAGAGATAATTTAAGGAAATATAGTATATAAGCAGTATAAGACAATTTAAACATTGCCACGCACGTCGTTCTGTAGATTGTACAGGCAGTTGTCTCGAAATCATCAGGGACTACTAGTTTGAGTTGTTTTTTTTATCCCCAGTCGGGATGGATCACAAAATGGCGCGGAATAGGCGCCTGTGGACGTGTGTAGTGGGAGCTCCAATTTCCCGCTCCTTTATCGCTGTATTCCGGTAAGTGATGCCATGTTGTGTGCATCCAACGCTCTTTCCGTGTCTGCGGGGAGAGAAGCCTCAAGTGTTGTAGCTTTCCCGCCTTGGTTCGGTCAGCATTATTCCGAGCTCTCTGACTATGGCCACCAACTTTCTTCTCACTGGCACTGAAATGAGGAACACGTCATTAATATCTGGTGTCATACTTAATTCTGGTGTTTGATTAATTAGATAGATTTATTCGACAACTTTACAAACATTTTCAAATAAACGCATATAACTTTATCAAGTTACTTTTATTCTGATTAAGAAGAGACTGAAATTTATGTGAACTATTTACTCCGACAATCCCGAGGCGTGCTGATGATAACTTACCCTTCTAAAGTGTCGATCACTTGTTGCAGGCGTTTCTTTTGATCTGCTGCTGTGATGCCCATCAACTTTGTACCAGCGAGAGAATTGAAGAATTTCAAAGCTACTTGTCGTTCTGAAATTTAATTTAAAAAAACACTTTATAAAACTATACGAGTTTTGGTAATGTTTTAACGGACTTTTATTTTTATTAACCCACAACAGATTCCAGCCATTTTTCTGACAAGACATGATTATCTCACATCATCAACACTTACCTTCTTCATTCGCAGAAGTTAGCCACTTTTCCACTTCCTCTCTGGCGTCGGGCATCATCGTCTTCTTTAAAGAGTTTTCCATCTGCTGTTTCCTGTCGGCCATTTTGAGGATCTTTTCGATGACCCTCCTGTCTGCCTTTGGAGCCAGTTTGAGCAGTTCGTCAGCCTTGTCCACTACGTGTGGTTGTAGCGTAGACTTGAAATCCTGTATAACAAATTTATGTAAACATTTGCAATTACTTTCATACTCATACTACAAACTTTACCAGATGTTTATAAAACAGAAAAAAAGATCTTTCAGTTATTCGATTCATTAACAAAATAAAGCATTTGGCTTCGTCTCCATCATCTGACTACACAGAAAGTCAGTTTCAGGATGCTTATCCGGTCACTCACCTCTTTGCCCATTTTCACTTCTTCTTCAGATGGCGGTGCTTGCTGCTTGGGTGCCTCAGTATTAGCTACAGGAACTGGGGTACCGGCGGCCTTGTTGATTCTCGTATACTGTCTGGACATACCGAGGGGGCGGGGCTGGTTTTTACTCATCTTTAGCTCTGGTACTAAAAGTGTTAATAACAACATTCATGAACTAAAACTTTTGTTATTTTTTCTTTGTTTTTTCTCTTCATTGTGTGACAAATGAGTTGGATTTAGATAAAGCATTACGTGAAAGATTATTTTAAGTAATTAACATACGTGACATCTGTCGGTTAAGGCGAGGAGGTTGGGACCTCGCTGATACTACAGATGGCGCTCTAGACGGGACAGGGGAAGGCTCTGGTGATTGCTTGAAGAATCTCTCGTGTTCCTCTGTAATGACACCCACGTCTAAACAAAGATAACAGGAAAATACCAACATGTGATCATAATCCAATCACAAATTAAATAAAACTAGGGTAAAATATTAACATAAGAAAAAATTACGCTGAAAATCCTGAAAAAAACAGGAGGAAAATAAAACCAGATGTTCCGGAAGAGCAAGCGTCTTTTGCTTCATCGACCACATCCGATATGCAAAACTTGGTAAATCCATGTAAGTAATGTCACGTTTTTCAAATAAGGAAAAGGTAAACAACAATAGAAGCAACAAGTAACAAGTATCCAGGTTATTAGGTTATATCTTATATAATTCATTGTGAAAGAGACCACTCGTAATGAAAAAAGAGCATAGACATTCTGTATACACAGTGGAAAACGAGCAACTAGCACTTTATCATCGATCATTATGTTTTTAGTAAGTTATATTGCTATATGCGACCTGTAAATATGTCTATGAAAAATTGCATATTTTTCATTCTTTCAAACAGTGCGATGGAAAGGGTGTGCTCGGGACGTTACCGGCGGTGTAGAAATACCGCATACTCACCGTTTCTTGGCACTGGTGGTTCGTACTTGTCTTTCACACTATGGGGGCGGTAGAATCTCTGTGGCACCCGCCAGTTGGTGAACATCTGTGAAGAAAAATAAACGTATTAACAAATATATAATAACTGACGATGATTGTACAAGAATCCACAAGCGGAAAGACATCCTTTAATCACTGTTTCATTCTTCTGGGACCCGCCAGTGATAACTAGTACCTAAATTGTTGAAACACTGAAGGTGGCCGAGGAAAATGAAAAAAAGTCAATATAAATGTTAAAACCAGACGGGGATGTGCTCTACAAAATTCACAATTTTCGTGATTAAAAATGTTGCATGACTTTCAAAGAACATCGAGTACATGTAAATATACTTAATGGCAAGTAAATATGTATATATTAGAATAAAACCAAGTCGACATACTTTCATTGATTAAAATGCAATTAAACGAAACCACTTGGACCACTTTTAATGAGCACCGAACACCGGCAACAAAACGGAGTAACATCCAACAGGTTGTGATGAAAAGTGATACCTTTCACAATGTGTCTCCAGTAAAAAGGAACATACCTACTCTAGTAATGATTTTTAGGTACTTCACTTTCCCCGATAACATGTTAGCAAGTCTAAGCTGTCTACTATCAAATCTAGAGACATGCACAACTCTCACGGCCGTAACCTGCCTGCCACGTTTTAATTCATTCGAATAGTTTCACAGTTCAGAAAGTACACATGTACTTGACGCTGTTCTAGTATTTTCTGATGCATGAAAATTACAAAATTTATATAATTATAGGGCTGCTGCACCTCCCCGTCTAGTCTTTTTTTCTTTTCTTTTGATCACTTTGGATTTTCCCTAGTTGCCTCCTAGGCTTCAAAATTTAGATTTAGTATCACTGACGAGTTCTAGAAGGACGAAGCAGCTGTATGATGTAGCATCACTGACGAGTCCTAGAAGGACGAAGCAGCTGTATGATGTAGCATCACTGACGAGTCCTAGAAGGACGAAGCAGCTGTATGATGTAGCATCAGTGACGAGTCCTAGAAGGACGAAGCAGCTGTATGATGTAGCATCAGTGACGAGTCCTAGAAGGACGAAGCAGCTGTATGATGTAGCATCACTGACGAGTCCTAAAAGGACGAAGCAGCTGTATGATGTAGCATCAGTGACGAGTCCTAGAAGGACGAAGCAGCTGTATGATGTAGCATCAGTGACGAGTCCTAAAAGGACGAAACAGCTGTATGATGTAGCATCAGTGACGAGTCCTAGAAGGACGAAACAGCTGTATGATGTAGCATCAGTGATGAGTCCTAGAAGGACGAAACAGCTGTATGATGTTGCTGTATTCATTCTTTGGCTCTATTGCGTCTAACTCTAAATTTGTATTAAAAGTATTCACTTGTGTGTCTTTTTACAATCTTTAAAGAGGTTTTGCTGTAATACTGAGAAATACAGCAGTTCCACCAACATACAGAAAGGCAGGCATTTTACCATCTTTTCGCTGTCTTCAGTTCTACCAATACTGAAAACAACCGTATTTCACAAACATTTCGCTGCCTTACCAAGAGACGGAGGAAACAAAAATCTGACATGTTTCAACCTACTGAAGAAACAACAAAATAGCAAACAAATCAGGCGATCTGAACAATGAAACAAAACGCATATCTTAACTTTACTCGGTTGGTCCACTAAGAATGTTACAATACAACATACATTTCTTTCAAATGAAGTCAGTTACTAATAAAACACCCATATCTTAATGAAATGTATTTATTCTTCGATGTGGTAAATAACATATATATATGTATATATACTGCTCAATAAGCTTAAGTAGGTTCATAAGCTTTCAGATAAGGCGATCGCATTTTCATTTTAAATATACGTACCCACTTGAGAAGAAAAAAGAGGTATTTACCTGAAACAACTGAGACCTGATATTAGGACATGGCGGCAATGAGAATGAGCCACATCAAGCTACAGAAGCCACTTTATTCACAATAATTGATATATTTGTGAATAAATACGAGACCTACCTGTCTATATCTATAATCCTCTGTTAGCAAGTCTAGACCCTTGTTTTCGTCCATTTTCTAGCCTCATTTGACAGCCCAACACAAACTCACACCCCGATATTTTAACGAGCCCGTCTCCAATGTGGTATATAACTTATTGACTGGGGATAACAAACGCCTTGGTCTGAAGGCCCGGAGACGAGTGTACACACCGCGTCTCTTATGTCATATATTCTACCTCTACGTTCTATTCAAAAACACAGTAGGCTCACTTGTCAATTAAAACATACAAGCTTCTTACTTCCACGAAAGTCCAAATATTTAAAAGTCCAGTTAGCTTGAATCATGTTAAATATAAACTCTATAGCTACCGACTTTGGCATCATTTGCATTCTTTTAAAATTTGCCTTATTATAGTTTTTCATACATAATGGTTATACTCATTCCTGTTTTATATTAATGCATTTACATCCGCAATTGTCATAGATTCAAAGATGTCAGTATTTATCAAGTTGCCCAATTCATATGTACATTTACAGCTAAACAAATAACCAGGTCAGAGGTCGAACTCGTTGTGAGCTGTGTAAACCTGCCATTGTTAGGATGACACTAATCTAGGATATAATGAATTCCAGAGACATATTTAAAGTATCGTAATTGTACTATTTGTCCTATATCTACCAAATGTAAACACTAATATTACCTACATATGTAGGTATTGTTAGAAACTATATTCGTATACGAACTAGCACAAGACAACAGGAGATCAGAAGTCATGAAAAAACTAGAAATATCACTACCACCACCATTACAAGAAGTGCTCGAAATTAACAAAATACACTTGTTAATGTAACACAGTGGAAGTGTCGTGTTCCTAAAATTAAGGGATATATTCAAATGCACTAGAAATAAATTCTAGTCATGAAAATAGTGAATATGTCCTGTTGAGAAACCAGAAAATATGCTACTGTGTAGTATGTTGTTCGTTAAACCAACGACTTTGTTCCGGGAACTATCGTATAGGATCCGTTACCAGGATTAAACAGTTATTCCCGTGATACCATGGACGCTCTTTTGTTACTGAATTTAGTAAACATGATCTGTTCGTGGAACCATGCATTCTGCTTGTTAGGGCCAGTGAATATGACACAAAGCAAGTATACTTGATAAGAAGCACATCACGTATTTACCGGTGATATAAAGCTTTATCCTAGCGAAACAAGTGAAATATCATGATTGCGAAATATACCTCGTTTGCAAAATATGTGGGACTATATGTTCATGACCAATAATAACATACAGTGACCGTGGTTGCCTTACCAGCTGTGTAGTCGGTGATCGATAATTCTAAACATAACGACGGCGATTTAAATGTCATCTATAGAGCTTTTTAATTACCTGATTTCAATTCGGGCACTTGTCATAAATACTCGTGCATTATCCACATATACATGGACGACAGTAACGTGAATGAAAACCTTTCTATAATTTCACAATACCGGTGATTGTGAAGATAATTTCTTTCATTGATATTTAAACCCCGGGTATATATATATGTTTATATATAAGCCTATGAACGGTACAGCCCATTCTAATAATATTCTTATTAATGAATATACCTCTATCACTGAAACTCTATGAGTAATATATAAGGTCATTGTAAACTATTAGCAATGTTCTGTGATGAAATATGTTAATCACCCATGTGTATGATTAGAATAAAACTTTAATAGTTTTCTCTGTAAGGTGAACTCAGAATAATTATCGAATTATTTAAAGGTCGGAAAGAACTTTATTACATACATTGTTAGAATTGTTTTCTGAATGTTTCCTTATAAGTGTTTGCATTCGACCCTTGTCCATCAAAAATGCCCAATTTTTCAATAAATTCTTATGATAAATACAGAGAGAATGACAAAGGCATTCGAACATGTTTGGCTATCAATAAGAATATATATTAAAAATATTCGGGTCAGCCGAAATATCTAATTGTCAAAGTAACGCCATTTTCCGAAAAATAAATATCTTGGATCAAATTCGGATTCGGTACAGTGAGAATACAGAATCAGGTGGCATTGCAGAACGTGGAAACCCAGGAGAGAAGATCTAGCTCTGCAGACCCCGAAAAACCTGGAGAAAAGCTGTAGCGTTTCAGACTGTGGAAAACGCAGATTGAAGACCTAGTACCCCAGACTGTGGGAAAACCCCAGAGGGAAGACGTAACATTTTAGCGTATGGAGATTCATGAGAAAAGATCTAGCACTGACAAGTGAAAGCTTTGTGTTCATATGTTTACGGTTTTCTGTGTGATATTATATTCAGATGCTACTCACTTATACTTTACTTGTATGGTATGAATGAACTTAGATTAAAACAAACTCTAATATACAGATGTTTGACCGATTTTCTTATCATTTTTAACATGAAAAACATATCACTGATGTCTACTCAGTAATCGTCCATAATTAAGTTATTGGTCAGATAACGGAGCCTTTATTTAGTTTCCAACATTAAAATTACAAAACGCAATGACAAAAGCTATACAGTTGTGTTATAGCTATTTCACGCTGCCTACCTTTAGAAGTGTATAGGACCACAATAGACTAATGTTTATCTCATCAGATACCATAAGTAACTATACAACAGTTGGCAGCGACCCAGAAAATATGTCGGATTTGTATGTAAAAATATCGAATGGTTGTTACAGAATTTTCTACGATTCAATTTCTTCAATTTCACAAAGTATTCTACAGAGAATGTTTGTTATAACATTTATGCTCTTTAGTGATGATTTGAAAAAAAATGTTCCATTTACTCAGTTCATTATAGCAACGATCAATTGTAGGTTAATTATACATATATGTTGTGGAGGATAATTGTTAAAAATAGTGTAAAATAAGAAAAGATTTAACTTCAATAATAACATATTTCAAAACATTTACAACGTTTTCTTTGTAATTACATGTGTCCTTGTACCAAGCTATTCTAATACACGAGCTACTAAATAAAGGATTTAAAAAGCCCATGTTACAACAGTCTGGTCAAATGTCGATTTTTTACAATAGCTTAAATACTAAGGGTTTATTTATGTCACTTTCCAACCTTCGCGTCTAAAGCGTTTGATAAAACGTACCGTAGACCATAAAAGTGAACGAGTATTAAGCTGTTGGCGGATATAAAAGAATACATGTATGACATAGTGGTTAGTGTAACGTCGCCATATTGAATAACGATCTGTTAGGTTTTAAAATTCACGTACGAGTAAATCATATCATTCATATACATACATTCTAATTGGAATAAAAATATCAGACTTACATGAAAAAATATTAAGTTTAATATTTACATGGTGCTGTGCTATAAATCAGAATAAAAGGGTTAAAGGGTTAAAGTGATTCACAATAAAACATTTAGGGATAAAAAAAATTTAAACGAAGGTTTCCCCAGAGAAACGGCGACACTATGTCTTACATTGTAAGTGATATACAGAAACTAAATTAAGATTGATATACATATAAAGTGTTATATACAACGATGAATAAAAATTATGTTTAATTTAAACAGGTTGGGCTATACTGGTTTGTTTTTATTTTTGTATTCATATTATTGAAAAGTTCTTTATGTACTACTTTGATATCATTGAAGGGGATAGGAGGTTATTGATTCAAGACCTTATAATGTGTAGTAATCGCCATTTATAATCCTAGTACGCGTGTTCCAGTTCCAGCACAATCATTGGACAAAAAATGGACGGTAATTGGCGTTACTTAACATAATCTTATGATTTTGACAGCATCTAACTTCTCTCCATTGTTTTGCATGTAAAGTTTTAATGCTTTTGTCAATAATGTTGGTTTCAGTTGCATTTCTTATTTTAAAGGTGATTTCTTGAATCAAGTTGTCGAGTTCTTTTATGCTTGCATTTATTTACTGGTATACATGTTTATATGTCTTTGTTTCTATTTGTGACACATGTCATCGATATCAAAGGATCTAAAATATCTGCTGTGTTTATGTTCAACACAGATATAGATCTCTTTTTGTGATGCGTTTCTGATCCCCACCTTGAACCATTTTATCTGTATGTTTCACCGACCATTTTTGCTAATTTTTTGTTTTTAAAGTGATAATTGAAACATGTCAATTCATATACTTTGTCGTTTATATAGATAAATGGTAAAATATTAATCAAAATGTTTTTTTCTGTTTTCTGATCGCGTATAACAATGCTTATATATCACGGTAACACTTTGCCCATTTTTTTTCAAAAATAGGAAAGTTTTATAGTAAGTTACATTTCAATAAGGATAGTGACTCTTTATGGTGCAGTATCGACATCAAGAGAAACTCTAACGTTACAGTAGTATAATATGTACCATACATACAATAGTTAATGAAATCCAGCTCTTCATGTTTTTAATTATAATTTCCTTTCCTTCTATACTGTTGCTAACGTGTAATATAATGTTCACAATTGTGAATGTGTAACTTAATTTGATACCATGTCTTCAATTCCTGATATTTGGTAGATACCCAGTCTTGTGAAATAGTTTTTGACATGAAATAGCATTATATCACCTGTACAGTTGTTGATATTTGGTAGATATATAGACTTGTGAAATAGTGTTTGACATGAAATAGCATTATATCACTTGTACAATTGTTGATATTCGGTAGATATATAGACTTGTGAAATAGTTTTTGACATGAAATAGCATTATATCACTTGTACAATTGTTGATATTTGGCAGATATATAGACTTGTGAAATAGTTTTTGACATGAAATAGCATTATATCACCTGTAGAATTGTTGATTAGTATTATGATGTAGACTACGTATAGAGGTGGGTGGTATCATGGGTAAACGCTTTGATAAGAAGGCGAAATAAACGCTAAATTTCATGGCATCGTTAGTCCAAGTAACCAAATCGATTTCAGACTCAGATAAATCCTGGTTATTGTCATTTTCTTTACATGGATATATTGATAAAACATTGTACAACAGACGATTGATTTTAAAGCGACCATATGAGTGTAAACCTTGAATCTTTATTGATCCTGTGGAGCAATGTGCTGCCAAAGCGGACCGTATAAACATGGCCATTGACATCGATTATGAAGCTTTTCTATATACATTCCATTGGCACGCGACAACCAACTTAAAACTACCCATGTGCCAAAACTGGACAGTTATTTTAGGTTAAGACAAATGAAATATATTCCCATTGAATTACCTTTGCTGTACAGATTGTCCTTTGAAAAGAATATCGCACTGCTCCGTCCCACGTCTACTTGCAGCAGTTTAGTGACATCCTTAGCAACAATGTTCGACCATTTTGAAACCAACATGAGTTTCTATCGTCTGCGAACCGATTTGAACTGTTTCTGATTTCTACGCCTCACAGCGCATGTCACAAATAAATAGAGAGTTCTATCTATAGGGACAATTACTGTTTGTTTACGGGATAGAAATCCATTTAATACCACTTACACGGGTTTGATACTGGGACATTTAAATTGATTTCTCCACATTTTGTTTCAGTCTTTAAACACACCAGAAGTGAATCACAGGTAATTGTATAGTTGCATAATGTATAAAAAAACAAAATTGAAAAAGAAAAAAAACTCACCTGATTCTGTTTGTTTCCAAAAAGGATTTCCGCTAACGTCTGCCTCTTCTTTTCAAAGGGCTGGAAACATACAATGTTGTTTGTTAGATAAAACACATAAAAAGGAACCTCTCTGTGTGATATATTGATGACGTAAATGTTGTAAACCTAAGAGTTAAAATACAAACATCATACTTACATATATTTCATTATGACTCTTAGCTGCTATATATACAGATGCAATTAAAACTATATATATATATATATATATATATATTAATGATATACTTCAAACTTTGATAGTGATCTGAATTTAGTCTATGTATGATATACCATGTATCATATTAATGCCTGTCATACAATATCTACTGAGTACGCTACGATCTCCTTACATATCGCTTTGTCTCTGTGCATCTAGGTATTCATGATTGCTATTAGAACCTGTTTATAAAAGCCCAGATGTGTAAAGAAAACTATGCTGTGTAAAACATACGTAAGTAGGGAAGGACATTTAAAACCACCGATACTTGTATATAATATATATATCTGAGGCAGTTATCTTGATTAGAATATTGCAATAATTCCAAGTACAAAGCGGTCGTGATAAGGAACAAATATATCCCATCTCACTCTACCACAGTATCAACATACCAGGTATTTTGGAGGCCAACGATAAATGATCTGTGAAATGAAACTGATTATGAAATATATTAAATAATTTTGTCGTATATGATAAAAATATTATTCTTTTATACAATTTCATGTACTTATATACAAAGAAATAGAATAAAAACTATTCTACAGTGCTAATTATGGCGGGTTAGTAATTAGTCTAGATGAATATCTAAGCGTGTCTGTGTACACATCTTGTGAGAACATGTATTAGAGGTTGGTATATAACTACGTTTTTTCTTATTATACTATGTTAGGTAAGTACAATCTGGATTAACACTCCTAATATTATCTAAACTTTTATCGAACTAAGCTCAACTTATTAACACATGATCTAATGTGTGAAACATCGAGTAGGTTTAAAGTGTGATATGTTTCTGTTGTTTTGTAGGTAAACCTTATCGTGTCTGTCACAATAAAGACCGAAGTTTCTATTACAGTAAAAATGTCCTTAATTTACCGCAATCTAAATTTAGCGCAAATTAACCCAATGATTGATGAATGCGTTCCTAATAATTGTTATATAAATAATAAACTTAAACTGTAATTTTATTTTATTTTAGTGCATTACGTTCACTGCGAACAAGCATTAAAGCACGACTATTGCTAAAATATGCACGTTTACAGTTTTCCCGATAAAATTGTTTTTATCCAGTTCGGTTTGATAATCATGAAAACATTTTACATTTGGTAAATTCTAATTATACGAACAACGACAACAGAAGGTAAATGAAATATTGTAGTGTACTGTATAGCTTTATAATAGTAACATATTATCTCCCTTTAACAACAAACACAACGTATACACTTATACAGAACATAAAAGGCACCGTGTTCGACATAACATTTCAATATAAGTTCGGTGGTATATTTTCATTGATGTTTGTATTCATGATAAAATCATGATAAAAAGTCACGATATCATGAATTACTTTATATGATTTGAGTCTAACTGAAAACCCAATAAATGGTACACATTTTATGGGGATATCACATGAAACCGTCTATACCTACCAACCCCGAAGAAACGGTTATCAATACTTTGACACATTCTAACTATGAAAACGTAGGAAGAAGAACACTTTTTCTATAAAACAGTTTGAGTTGACTTTTTCAGTGTCAAGTTATTTTAAGGGTTCCTACTGATTGTTAATAATGTTATACAGCATCCGTCTGTTAGAAATTTCAGCTATTCTACGAATGCATACCAAAACCACTATAACGATCTACGACTATCAGAGAGAGTTGGTGGTTTAGATAGCTTTAGATACTTACCTGCATCGTGGAAACCTGATGATTATGATATAAATGAAGTGATGACATCATAATGTGATAATAATCAATAACAATAGATTTCAAGTGTTTTCTCAACTTTACAACGCGCTCAGCTCAGTAAAAACATGTATACTTCTCCTCAAACTTTTTCGATCTTCGCCTATTATTTGTTACAAAGAAAATTCTATGATGGTCAAAGAAATCGTATCTAGATATTCTATTGAGGTCACAGAAAAAGTTACCGAGATGGTTAATTAATCTACTGTATGACGACGATTTTGAATTATGAGTTTTACTTGTTTGATCTATTGATTCGGTCGAGTATGAGAAGCAATCTCAATGTTAACTAGGGCGGTACAGATATCGTTCTGGTCTTCTATTTAAATGTCTCATATTTTCAACAACATTGACAGAGTTATTTCCCTTTTAATCGTCACAAGGGAAAAGTAAGCCTGACTTGTTGATATTGTCACATTGCATTAAGGAGTCACTTGCTATTCCCGTTTGTCAGTTCTAAAACAACTCAAACATTTTATGACGTATCAATATCATTCATTTTCCTTCGTCCTTCTTATCATTCTGCTATCAGTTACCCACTTAATGATCCATTAGCATACTGATCGGAAGGGCTGTAAATAAACAAAGTTCTGAAATAATGCATAAATAAGTATGCATTCACGATAAGTTCTGAAGAATGCATAAACAAGTATGCATTCACGATTCAGTCCATTTCTATTCTATAACTTATGACTCTCATAGATAAACACATGAATTAGTTATACAAAATACGACGAATTATCATAAGACATTTTTAGGATTTGCCAAATTGCGTGTATGGATTTTAAGCAATTAAAATTGTGAGCTAACAAATAGTTGTTATTTATTGTAGGGTTATAAAGTCGATACAATCACAATTCACATATACAAATATCTATATATATATCTATCATCAAAGCAACTAAGGCACATTATCTTCGTATAAAAACTATCGTGTATATATCTATAGAATCAGTACTTACAATAGACGAAGCCTGTAGCATATTATGTTGGAAACTTAATATTGACCAGTTTGGGTTTTTCACAAGTGCTTGTAAGATATATAATCTTTTATTAATCACCGGATTTACGTGATAAATAATTCCTTAAGAATTAACAACAAGTGGAAACCAGTGTACAACAATGAAAACAATATGTACCAAACATTCACTTTACTGCTTGGGGGAAAGTTTATCTTGTTAATCCAAATCATATTCAAATAGCATATTCAATATAGATACAGAAGTGACATGTTCACAATAAATTGAAGTTTTACATCAATTCTCCCACCAGACAATGTTCGTCCGTTTGTTTTAAGAAGAAAAAAAAATAAAATTCAAAAGTTAGGAAAGGAAAATGACTGCTTTTTATCAATGAGCGACCATATATCACATCCTAAACATATTCAAATAGCATAATTAGTTTATATAGAGAAGTGACATATTTCAATCAAGTTTAATACCAATTTTCCTTCCAGACACTGTTCGCCAATATGTTTTAAGAAGTTCAAATTCAAAACATAGGAAAGGAAAATCACTTTTATGTCAATCAGCGGCCATATATGACATCTGGTATATCATGTATGATACTGTTTCATTTGATGAACTATTGACTTAGGTATGTGAACTTGTACTAAGCTGCACGCGTGACCCAAAGTATTCAATACTCCGAACATACGTCATCTTTTGAAATGTTTTGGCTATGAATCAAACTCGGTTAGTTACTTTGTAGTCACTTTAGTAGAATACCAAAGATTTGTTGTGTTCCTAGTTCCACAGAGGTCGTTTTGAATTTTCAGACATCATACTGTGTAACTTAATCGTCCTGATTCTGATAGATGTTAACTATAGATTACATCAAACGTAACTTTTTTTCCTATTGATATTGTAATATCAGACGCATCCATGCATGGGTATATGGATTATTTTTACATGGTCTTATTAACGGATAAAGTGTTCCCATACAAACAATTGGACATTTCAGTAAAGAAGGAATCCAAAGGTATCATTGGGACAGCCTTTACACCAGAGAATTTACCATCAATCAGGAAAAATTCTCTAAAACAGATATGGACCACATCCAAGTACCATTTTGATGTTGTCATTTCATTTATATACTTTATGTAATTATATATCATACGATATACTAATTTATGTATATTTATTTAATTATATAATTTTCATAATGCACGTCATTATTATCGCAATAAAATGCAATATATAGGTATAAGAACAATCCAGCACAAATACATGTATTTAGCATAGTGTAAATAGAAACGATCACTGAAGCTGATGTAATGTACGTGGTACTTACTAAGAGAAAGACTCATACAGTGTTCATTTGTTTAAAGTTTCACCTTTGTATTCCAATACAACATATTTAAGTTACATAGTTATATCACATGTTAAAACACCTTTATCTTCTGATACGTTACCTTACCAAACATAGGTTTGTATTAATTAAAGTTTAATTTTGTCTTACATGAAGAATCCTGGTCCCATGTCCATTATTGTTTCATTAACCTACATACAATTCTGCAGTTTTACTTTTCACAATTCCGCATGACCCAGCATATCTATGTTTTGTTTACCTTAGCTCCTGCAGCCTTTTGTTCTCCTTCATCCGGAATTTCTAGCAGCGGTGCTAAGGGAGGTAATTTTAAAACATCCATTTTGGGTTTAACTCCCTAACATTCACATATATCCGGAATATTGGTGTTAGACATTGTTTTCCTCCACTATATCGCCCACAGTGATTACTGATACCCGCCGTCTTTTTAATGTTTGCCTTCCTGCCTTTGGGCGATAGTATGTATAATATATCTCTGATACTTTTCGGGCGGTTTTCTACCTCTCCAGATAAATCCTATCCATATAATCATTAATCCCGGTGCTTGCGATACCTGATAGCTGTGATCAATCACTGAGATTTAAGCCAACACTATAATGGAGAATAGTGATAAAGATTTATATATTGTTTATACGATACAGTCCACAATAGCCTTCCCGATATCCCCACCTAATCGTATTAGCAAGTTGTAATGCACGTCACATGAACACCAGTAACTCCCGTGTAGTCTGTCATACTACTTATGTCAA